TTGGTTTATAGAATTAATACCAAAACACAACACATATTACAAAAATACTGGGGGGAAGGGGACCCCCTTCAGACAATCTATTTCAGTAGTCTCCAAGCCCTTTTTGTCATATACCCCATCATTTAAATATTTTAAGCATGGACTATGTGTATTTATTAATTTATAAATTATATACAATATTCCACTGTACTAGTATATTTTTTATATTACACTATAATATTTTCAATTTCTGTTTTTAACCCTGCTTATTTATTTTATTTTGTAATTTATAAAATTGTATTCAATATTTTCTTCCCACACTCCGCTTTGGAGACTACTGATCTCATTGAGCCTCCCACTCAAAACTCTCTCCCTACGGAGAACTTTGATTTGTCAAGTTTCTGGATGAAAAATGAAGGTAACACTGCCAGTTGTGGTGAGGTTCTGCCACAGACAATTAAATTAAGTAAGATTAGTCAACAAAACTTTCCATAAATAACTGAATTTTCAGAGAAAGACAATAGATTGCTTCTAAACTCAAAAATGCCAGCTCAACGCATGCCCAAAAATGGTAGCCTGGTCTTTCAGGTAGCAGGCTGATGAGTTAATCTAGTTCAAATATTTACTGGATATTTATTATTTATTACTTTATTATTCAATAAAGTAATTGTGGATCTTCAAATTCTGCTGTTGCTGGAATGGTATTATTTCATTCAATAGCACAGAGTGTGTACAGCAAACACTCAGATTGGGCCAGCACCCCTTGAAATGTCTAGGGATGTCCTGGCCTGGAGGCATGTGCAAGTGTATGCTGTTTGGGAGATTTGAGGACTTGGCTAGGACATGGATTTGGGATGAAAGATGGGTGTTAATGTGAAGTGGTGCTGTTAGGATATCTTTCATATCCACATCAAAAATGACCTACCTTCATTTGTAGTTCATACATTGTTAAGAGCTATTTGTTCTGCAGTAAAATACTGCAGCTCACATCCAGGACTCTACCTTGCTGTCACTTTGATATACTTTCTCTCTGGATTAATGCAAGCTCAAGAGCTCTTGCTTTGGAAATAGGAGGTGATAGAGGAAAGAGCAAGAATTCCTTCTGAGCATTTCATCCATTGGACACAGCTATATGGCATTGCCGGTATGAACTTTTGTCCCTTCAGAAACTAATTCCAGCTTCCATGATTCTACTATCATGATGGCTTAAAATCACAATGTCAGTGCTCATAGTGCTAATCTGATAAACCTTTTATTTGCAACCTCCAAGTCACTTGGAGAGGATAACCAGCTCCTGCCTCAAGACAGAAGGCTGAATCCAGAGGTAAGGGAGATGGCCTCCACATGTAACAAGCCTCTAAGGACTGTTTGCACAAAGCCATGAACACACTCAGAGATGCAGAAATACCACTTGGGTAGGTGCCCTGTGCAAAAAACAAGCTGCTTAAATAAACTGTTAGTTACTTAACAGTTAAAAGGTGTAATAAGTTCTATTACACCATTTGTTTACCTTTAACATTTGGGAAAACAGCTGCTTTATTGAGTCAGTTGCATACTTGTGTCTATGCTAGTAGATTTTATCTACATGTAAATAACAGGTAAGATGGTAATTAGCTTGAAGAAGTTCCTTTGTCACTAATAAATGGATTATGGTAAATTTCTTACTATCAGCTATGAGTTGGTCAGGCTGGAGGCAGAGGCAGAATCAGTGATGTGCAAAGTTGTCCTCTTTTGTCTCTCAGAGAACCAGGATTAGTTGAGCTGACAAAAGATAAACAGGCAGATGGCACCTTATGGAGGGCAAAGCACACTGTCAAAGCATGTAAGACCATCTGCGCTGGGGTTGGTTTGGCTTGGCACCCATTAGAACAATAAATTAGAGCAGAAGATGAAAAAATCAAAATACAAAGAAGACAGATAAATAATTGTCGGGACTCTTAATTTTTCTTATTTATATGACATGTAGAAGATTCTAAGCTTTCTTCTGCAAAATCCTGGAAAATATGTGGAAGGCATTTGGCTTGTACAAACAGGTTTGCCACACACGTGGACAGTGTGGTCCTAGAGTACTAAGTGTTTCTAAATAATAGAGGAATTCTACTTCTTCCTTGGAAAACAAGACAGCTAAGGCTGCAGGTGAAGGTGCTCAGAAATCCTGCGTTAGGGTGTGCAGCAATTTCATTGTGCAAACCCTGCTCAGAGCTGCTAGGTCACCAGCATTACCTTCTTCCCAGCTGTCATACCAGATTCATATCCACTACCTGAAGATGGCATAGCTGAACTCCATAGCCAAACAGTTTGTATAGTTTAGAAGTTTGACATAACTATTGAGGTAGTTAGTGATGTATAAAATAAAAACAGACTTGGTTCTATTTGTGTGAAAAAATGTGCACTGCTTCTTTCTTTGTACAAGAACTACTGCATATCTTGGCCAAATACCTTTGTATAATGAGGCACATCATGGTTCCATCTTTATTCCTTCTTGTATTCTAGATACCTATGGGAATTTTATGATTGCTGTGACTAAATCTTTCATCAATCTTTCTTTGAAGGCAAGTGAAACCTTCTGGTCAGTTTCAGGATCTCAAACATGTTTTCCAGTTTTTCTTAGAGCATGTTTTCCAATAATTAATTCTGATTACTGGTTTATTAAGAAATTTGATGGCTACCATGATATAAACAACAGCTTTGGCTGTTTTGCTCCTGACAAACTTCTGAATTTATCTAACTGGGTCACTGGTTTACTGAGGTGCACTTCAGGGAAGATTCTGCTGCTGCTTAGTCTGATACTGAGAAGTAGCAAAGGCTTCTTCTCTACAAGAAAGGTCATTAGCACGAAGTCTGATGCATAAGAAATTAGCTGTATGCTAATCCTAGGGTTGGCGGTGTGAGTAATCTGAGCACGAAGGGAAAGCTCAGGCTCGGTAGGCATGATTCATGTAATCCTACTGGAGTCTGCAGAGGTCGGTGTCTGAACTGAATCATCTGCATCTGATATTCCTTCTCTTCTTGCCCAAGAGAATGAGGGAGTCTTAAACAGCCCTGCTCCTTTTTCCCCAGCAGACCAATAAAGCTCCTGACCTTAAGTTTGTAAGGCTTGTGCTCAGACAAGGAGCAGGGCTCATGAACAGTGTATCCAGCATTGGCAGCTGATGTAGGTTGCTGGTATTTCATTTATGTTATTGATAACAGGAAGCCTGGCAGCTTTTTACAGCTATTTAAAATGTTATCTTTAGTAACAGAAAATAAATTCATATTAGGATTGTAACTTGTTTAAACTTTTAAATTCATAAAAATGCAGTAACAGGCCATTCTTTATAACATTCCTTTCTGCTGCTTTAGTTAATTTTATTTGATTTTTCTAAAAAAGGAAGAGTTTTGACCTTGTTGAAACCAGCATTAATTCTGTCATTGACTTCAGTGGGCCCGGGATCCAGCATCAGTGTCTATATTTGTAAGTCTGAATTTAGAACAAGTAGGAGAAAGCATTTGGTATGTTACAGACAAAAGTCATCTACAAGCTGTGTTCCATGCATAGTGAAAAATAATATATATTCTGTCTGTATATGTGCTTACCCAATTTTTTTAAAACTATCTCATTGAATTGCACATCTTAGAGTTAACAGATGGATGGTGTCTTTGTACCAGCTTCTACTTGTACTGCTGGACAGAGCAAAAATATTTCTTGGAAGTTAAGTTCTAATCCTACAGATTCAGACCAAGAACAAATTTTGTTTTTCATTAAATTCGTAAAATTTGGCAACCCTGCTCTCTTCAAATGGCAAGAAGCTGCACGTAGGCCTACATATGAGCTGTGACTCTCATGTGGCCTCCAAAAGTCTTGAACCTGCCCGTATCCTCTAGTCTGAGAAGCAAAGGAGCTAGGAATAAAGGTGAGCAAGCCATGCAGTGAGATCAGGATTTGACATGCAAGCTGAATTATACTTTTCTTGTAGTCAGCAAATACCATGTCCACATTTTGTTATCTTCTAGAGCTAATAAACTGTAATTTCTTATAATGCAATTTTGCAACCTGTAAGATTAATTGCTTCATATAGTTACTCTTGTACTTACAATTTTGGATTATGTGAGCCATTCTAGTTTTAAATTACCCTTTACTCTGCATATCAGTAGGTTACTAGGAGACAGACCAGACTTTCTTCTTACCCTGGCATCTGTGGCCCTGTATGACACAGTGACTCCTCGGTGTGTGCTTGTAGCAATTTACTAATGGGCAGGCAGGGGATTGTTCAGCCTCCATCAGCCCTCAGGGGTTGAGATATCGATACAGACTAAGTTAAGTTTAGGCGTTTTATCTTTTTAAGAAATATTCACTAGTAATAGCATATAATAACTAAAATTGTAAATACGTTTAGAAATCACCTTTAAGTGGGTAATAGTGAAGCGGCAGTGAAAGAATGCAGTCATGAAAACACTATGGTGCTAGCACACAGCCCCGTGCCTGCAGTTATCCACTTCTGGCTCGGCAGTACGGAAAGGGCGCTCAAGGGCGCGCTCGGGGGGTGCAGCGCGATCGCTGCGGGGTCTGGGGCAGGCACGGCGGGGGCGGCCGCGGCCGCGCTGCTCCCAGTGACATTCGCAGTGCGTTCCGATGTGTCTGGCGGCTCTGCCGGAGCGCGCAGGTGACACAGCCGCGCCCCGCCGCCCCGGGGACGGCTTCTCCCCGTTTCACCGCCAAGTATCAGGGGAGCGGAGCCCTCCTTGGCCGAGCCCTGCGCGGGCGAGCTCAATCCCGGCCGCAGCGCCTCCGCCCCCGAGGCACCGCCCGGGGTCCGGCGAGCCCGGGACGTGCGGGAGGCCGGCGCTGTGCCCGGCGCTGTGCCCGGGGCTGTGCCCGGCGCTGTGCCCGGCGCTGTGCCCGGGGCTGTGCCCGGCGCTGTGCCCGGCGGCGGCGCAGGGCGAGGGCCGCGGGGCGGGCGCGCCGCCGCCGCTCCCGGGGCC